CCACACCTTACACATTGTGTAACATTAACTCATTAGTAATTATATTACCATCTATAGGATGGCGTCCATGTGGGCGCAATCTTATTTCATCCAGGGGGAAGGGGTGTTGTGTCCTGAGCCTGCAAGAGGCAGGCTCGGGACGTTGCAAGAGTCCCGGGCATTTGCAGAAGCTGCCCGGGACCAGACTGAGCGGCGCCAGACTTGTGCGCATGCGCAAGGCGGGAAAAGACCGCCTCGTGATTGGTTGAAGTTGCCCGGGGATCAGAAGGTATAAATAGAGGCCTGCGTGCCTCTGCTCGGGTTGTTCGTAGATTGGAAGCAGAGAATAAAGACTTGTTAGAAATGCTTCGTCTCAAGCGCCATTATTCTCCGGACTTAACAGTTACCATTTTTGGTCTGGTTAAAAACCAAGCAAACACTAATGCAGACCTTCCAACTATTTTGCCCATCTTTGGAACAGATAATATTGATTTGATGGAGCATAAAGCCATTTTCTTAAGCACAAAGACAAAGCTACGCAGAAAACCTTGTTGTTGGCTCTTTTGCAAAAGTGTCTTGCCAGAAAAAAAGCGACTGTTCTAAAAATGTTCCTGATTTGTAATCTCTGTTCCAGGAATATTTCCTGCTGAACAAAGAAGTCACTGCTTTTGTTGAGTTTACCCAGACGGGTTCCACTTCTCTCTTCCAGTACAAATAAGGAGGAAAAACCCTTTGGTTACATCTTCCCCACTTTCTCCCTCCCTATGGGGAATCAGCCATTATAATTTATCTAGCTGACAACAATTTTCTCTTTCCTTGCAAATACCAGGCTGGGGAAAGGTAGACTTATGCAATTCCTCCTTCAAGAAAGCAGGTGATAGCTGTAATATTGGGTCTACCTGTATCCATTTTCTTGTTCAATTGTGGAAGAAAAAATGGACACTGATAGATCATTTTGCCTCTTCTGAAGTTAGAAGTTCCTGCAAGCCAAAGGGAGGAGGGAAGGCATGGGTTCTGCCCTTTTGAGTAAAATGGAAAGGATGGCATGGTAGTATTACCTGGCCATATTCCTGTAGAAGTTTGTCTGTTATCAGTTCAGCATCCTAGAACACAGAGAAGGAAATGGGGAAAGGGAAGAGACAGACAGGGGGCAAGAAGGTAGCAAGTAAGAGGAAGAAGAATCAGTTATGGGGAAGGGGGGGGGAAGCAGAGCGTGCAGCCTTTTTGTCATTGGTTGGCAACCTTAAAAAAAAAACCCAGCATGGGTTGCAAGCAGCAAATAAATTCATTAGAAAGTAGTTGCACTGCAGAGCTGCAGCAAATGGATCCAAGAACTTGCATGTTCCAGTTTATTATAATAATAATAATAATAATAATAATAATAATAATAATAATAATAATAATAATAATAATAATAATAATAATAATAATAATAATAATAATAATAATAATAATAGTAAAGTTGGAAGGGACCTTGAAGGTCATCTAGTCCAACCCCCTGCTCAGGCAGGAAACCCTATACCATTTCGGACAAATGGCTGTCCAGTCTCTTCNAAATCGTTGATGAAGATGTTGAAGAGCACTGGGCCCAGAACAGAGCCTTGGGGCACCCCACTACACACTTCCCTCCATGTAGATGTGGTTCCATTGAGGACCACTCGCTGAGTATGGCCGGTCAGCCAGCTACGGATCCATCTGGTGGTGATGCTGTCTACCCCACATTTTTCTATCTTGTCAAGTAGTAGGTTGTGATCTACTTTATCAAATGCCTTACTGAAGTCCAGGTAAATTATGTCCACAGCATTCCTCTCATCCACTAATTTTGTCACTTGGTCAAAGAATGCAATAAGATTTGTCTGGCATGATCTGTTTTTGACAAACCCATGTTGGCTTTTAGTAATGACTTTGTTTGCCTCTAGGTGTTCGTTGATTCGTTGTTTGATTATCTTTTCCAGGATCTTCCCAGGTATTGAGGTTTTTAACAACTTGCTCAACGGAGGAGGCCAAATGCTTGCTATTGGCAAAGAGGAAAACCTGCTTGTTTTCATTCTTTGTGAAGCTTGTATGACTACAGACCAGCTGCACATAAAAATACAATGCATTCTATCTCGAGTAAACTGTTGTCTTTGTAGCACCTTGCCTGGTTTAAAGTTTTGGCAAATTCAAAAGCTTGCATAGTTTTTGATGCCCTTCTTGTATGGATTTTGGACTTTATTTTTTTCTCTCTCCTGAACCAACACAGCTGTCTTTGTTTTTTCTGGGCAAGCTGTGGGTCTGCACTAACTGTTCTCCTAGCTCCATGTCCCATGGCATATTGGGAACATCTGCTATTATTAATTACGGTGATGCCCTGGATTCAAGAACCACTGCTGGGAGTGAGTAGTACTAATTCTTATGCAATATTTCTCCTAATGGCTAAATTGCCTTACAATTAGTAGGATGTCTCTGTATATGTGGTGTTTTCCCCCAGATATGGGGCTACTCCTGTACCTTTAGTAGTTGTATAGGTGTCATAGAACTCAAAACTTGAAACTGAACTAGGAAATTCAAAGTTAGTAATTACAAAAAGGTTTCCTTTGTAACAGACTGTACAAGCAATTATTAGATGTTGATTACAAAAATATCATGCAATAATTTTAAGCCTCATCAAATATTATATATCATCAAATTCATGATTTGCAGTGTGTGACAAACCTTTCATTTTTGATACAATTCAAGGGCACCTGACGTTATACATAAAACATCTAGTGCCCTCACACTGAGAGGCCTAAATAGAATTAATACTTTTTCTCTCTTAAAAATGCCTCTCCCAGGTAGGTATTTTTGGATAATGGCATAGTTTGTGAAAATTATTCAGCACCTTTGCCATCCAATCACTGGGTTGTTAGGAATGTGGGTTCAGGTACCAGATTATAATTTCCTGATTTGCTTGTTAGACTATGACATCAGAGATGGAATCTTTAGAAAGCTCAACCTTTTGTGGGAAGTTAACCCAGAGAAGGAAATATTAAAAAGGCAGGAAAAATATTGTTCACCAAAAGGATTTTTAAAAGCATTTTTTGAAAAGCAGAAACCAAACCTGGCCTCATCTCTGCCCAGGGCAGTAGCTGGTCTTATACATATGCAGATGTGGAACCATCAGAAAGTTTGGAGCCAGGGATCTCAAGACAAAAGAA